GTCGACAGAACCTGGCTGGAGAACCTGGAGAACCTGTCTGTAGAACCTAGCAAGAGAACATGGACACAGAACTTGGCTGGAGATTGTGGCTAGAGATCCTGGCAAGGCTGCTAATCAACTGAACGCTGTCTCCGTGTCATTCCTTCTTCGCCGACTCCATCCACACCTTTGGGGACCCCTGGACCTGCTGGGGTTGGACCCCGGCATCATCTGGTCTATCCGGTCTAATTAGCATGCTACCCTTTTTATTAGTATAGATACAGTATCAGGCTTCTAAAGCACTGAAGGTACAGCAGGGGTCAAAACAAAGCTTCTGTTCTGGAGTTCAGAGTTTAGGTTGGCTGCAGGGGGAGCATAAATACAGGGCTGGGCAAAAAGCAGGTTTACAGTGGTTTGGATAGAAAATAATACAAGGATAAACAGTTTCAGGTACAACTACCTACTTTTGCCCCACCGTGTACTATACAGGGTGACAAGTGCTATAAAAAAAAGTAGGAAGGAGAGTGGAGAGAGATGGTGCTCAGAGAAAGCCTCTCTCCAGTCTCCACTAGAAGGTGAGCTCCAGGAGGTAAAGGACCTTACCTGTCTTGCCCATCATTGCAATTCCCCCTGCACAGTTGGTCTTAGGTTGTCATATAACTAATTCATCCCTCAGATCAGAATTGAAAATTGGAATACCACCTGTTAGGACTTAGGGATCACTTTGCCATCCACGGTGAGGCCAGGTCAGTGTCCAGCCCGCATTTGGCAGCCTGGATACCAGGAGCGTTTCGTGAAAGAACATTCTAGGTACTGTAAAGCTGCAGATCCCTCGAGGACAGTGCTGAGCTCGGGCTAGTCCCATAAGCATATGTTCACTCTCTGAACGAATAAATGATCGAACAGCAAAAGCCCAGTGACTTTGGAGAGTGGCCCCGTTTCCGGTCTGGGGGTAGGGGCGGCGAAGATTTTTCTGCGCAGATCTGTGTGGAGCAGGAACTCCGGGTCGCGGGCCTGGCTCAAGGGCCCATAATGATTCCACAGCACCCGGCTGTGGACACCCGTTTTGGACAGCACCGGAACCAAAACCGCGCCCCCAGCGGCCCTTTGCAGCCTGCCCCCCGCCCCCACTAGCTGCCTATGGTTTCCATTGGTTGTCCCGCGGAAAGCCCGCCCTCTTAAAAAAGAAAAATCCTAGTAGTCTGTCCAAGTAACAGTAATCCGATTGGTTATCGTACCACCAATCACAAGCAGCAATCTTCAGCCTTGTCCAATCACATCGGGCGCAAGTCACGGCCCGCGGAGTTTGATTTTCGTCCAGGGACGCGGAAGTAGCGGGACCGGGGAGCAGGTGGAATTACCCAGGCAGAGGTGGGGCTCCGCGATCCAGACCCGGGTCGCTGGGGGCGTTGTTACCGCCGGGGGCCCGCAGGCCGAGCGCGCGTCCGGACACGGGTCTGAGCGCCCTTGGGGCTTAGGCAACGGAGGATTCCGAGTCTGAGCTCCCTAACGACCGCGTCTCGGCGTCCCGAGTGGGCCGGGGGCTCGGCTTGGGAGGAAGGTGAGCGAGGCGACTCCGCTGGTAGGAGAGCCCCCAAGGACTCGTGCGGCCAGAGCGCGGGAGCAGCCGGGCGCAAGTCTCGGCCAGTTAGGTACTCGTTGGGTGACTAAGTGAAGTCACCGATTTGGGGTTCACGTTCCTTTTCTTTAAAGTGAGCGAGGAGTGCTGGAGGGTGTTGCACCTGTGTCGGCCCCCTGCCTGCTTTCCAGGGTGGGCGGACCACATCCCTCTCCCGAATCCGTCCGCAGCTGTCAGGTCAGCGGGAGCTGCTCTGCCCCGGCCAACTCGAGGGCTTCTCTGCTAAGTGTCCGGTCTCTTGTTGATTGACATTTATGAGGCTTAAACAGCCCATGAGCTTGTAATGCAATTTAACGGATACATGGAAGCTTCCTGTACCAAGCCTTCCCCAACCCCCATGCCCTCTCTCTTTGACGTCCTTCAAAATAATGCCGGCCCAAAGAGATTAGTTGAGGGTGTAATGTGTAACGGTAGGACTTGTAGTTTATTTCATACAATTTATACAGCAACTATTTATTTGTCAAGAGTAATAGTCTCTAATTTTTTTTTCTGAAGGTATCAAGAAACTGATTATGTTTCTTTGAATTTCTTCTGTGTTTGCTTCATCAATGTCTTTCATATTGAATACCTTAAGAGAGATACTGGAGTATTTCGGTGTTCCCATGGACCAGGTAAATGTTTTTAATGGATTTGAATGAACCTGTTGTAGTTGTTCTTGGGTCTCATTTTGAAAATGATTTATATGTAAGCATTTAAGGCGAAATTGTTATTTCTCTGTAGGTGTGACTACGATGAGTTTGCAATAGTTTACCTTTGATAGTTTGATTTTAAAAAGGGATAAGATTATTAGGAACCTGTTTACCTGATGGGTCAAATGCCAACAAAAGATGCAAACAGCCCTGAACGGTTTGGCTCAGTGGCTAGAGCGATGGCCTGTGGACTGAAGTGTCCCAGGTTCAATTCCGGTCAAGGGCATGTACCTTGGTTGTGGGCACATCCCTAGTAGGGGGTGTGCAGGAGGCGGCTGATCGATGTTTCTCTCTCATTGATGTTTCTAACTCTCTATCCTTCTCCCTTCCTCTCTGAAAAAAATCAATAAAATATAAAAAAATATGCAAACAAACAAAATATAGGCATGACCTTCATGGAATTCCTTTTATTGCATAGGCAAATTACATTTTTAATCATCTAATCATTTTGTTAATGTAAATGGCAAGTTATAGCTCAAAATATTCAGAATAAATCAGAAGGAGAGAGGATGACTTAAGTCTGAGAATGAAAAGCAAATCCACTTTTGTCTACTTACTGAGCATCTCCTACACCTAAGACAATATACTTGGTTCTGCAGGTGATACAGAATAGCAATACATCGTTTTTGTATTTATGGTGTTTAAAAATATGAGGGCTAGCCAACATTGCAGATAAGTATAATACAAGACTGAATATAAGACACAAAATAGTAGGGAGGTTTATAGAATAGACTTTTTGGTGTGTGAATTAGAAGAGAGTAGTCAAGGATAATTTCAAGATTTTAAGTAAAAGTAAGTTGAAGAATGATGGTGTCATCCTTATAAATAGGCAACTCAGTATGAGGAACTAGTTTGAGTAGGGAGATAAGGTCAGCCAGATGTGCTGTTAGAATAGACAAGTACAGGTATCCTGCAGATAATGGGATAAATGGTTCTAGAATGTAGGAAAGAAAAGACTTGATTCAGATTTGGAGTTATCTATGTTATTTTGAGATTTGAACTGATGGACTTTAATGACGTAATGGAAGATGCCATTGAAGCATTCTGAATTTCAGAAATAGTGATGTTGAAGATAACGAGGACTGAGTAATAGTTGAAGATTTATCATTCTATTATTGGTGCCTTTAGGGATTTCAGTAGGTAGGGAATGGCAATGTATTATAGTATGTAATTGGATATTCAACTGAGGAAGGGAGTTGGCATCAGTTTGTGAAAAGAAATCAAGAGAGGCCATCAACTTGAAGGGGCAGCAGGCATGAATATTTTTCTTTTCAGTGTTAGAAGTAACTTCATCATATTTTTACACACTGGGGAAGACCCTTATAGACAGGAAAATATTTAAGATACAAATGAGAGTGATTGAGCAATGCCCTGAAAAAGGTACTTGGGCAGAGCCTATAAATAAATAAGCCTTGGACAGAAGCTGGACAGTCAAGAGTAGAATAAAACTGAGAGATAGTGGGGAGATTTTGAATGGAGAGGAGTGCAAATTGAACTATATTAAATCATTGTCCTTGATTTTCTCAGTAATAGGAGAGGTGAGACCACTTATAGGTGATGAAAGCAGTGGTGTTGGGGATTTCAGAGATTGGCAATTGCTTGGGGCGACACAGAGAGCATAACATGTTATGAAGGGTTTGCACAATACCTGTGCAGAGTAATCTTTATAAATATTGTAGTTTCTTTCTCCCTCTCTTTTTCTTTTTCTCCCTCTTTTCCTACCTCTCTAAAATCAGTAATCATATCCTCAGGTGAGGATGGGGTAGTTTATCTATTAGTAATATGAGGACACATATCAAAAGGATGAACCAGCCCTAACCGGTTCGGCTCAATGGATAGAGTGTCGGCCTGCGGACTTAAGGGTCCCAGGTTCCATTCCAGTCAAGGGCATGTACCTTGGTTGCGGGCACATCTCCAGTAGGCGGTGTGCAGGAGGCAGCTGATTGATGTTACTCACTCATCGATGTTTCTAACTCTCTATTCCTCTCCCTTCCTCTCTGTAAAAAATCAATAAAATATATATATATTTTTTAAAAAAGGATGAACCATTTTTGAGAGCATATCAACTGAAATAACTTGATAATCCCTGCTTGGTATGAAAGTCAGTCAAGTCAAAATGAGGGGCCCTGGCCAGATGGCTCAGTTGGTTGGAGCATCGTCCCGATATGCCAAGGTTATAGGTTTGATCCCCAGTCAGGGCACATACAAGAATCATCCAAAGAATGCATAAATAAGTGGAACAGCAAATCAGTGTTTCTCTCTCTCTCTCTTTCTCAAATCAATCAATTAAAAAAAAAAAAAGATCATCTTGTACACCAAAAATTACTAGTTCCATGCCCGGTCCAGTCACATCTAGGAGCAACCTATTGATGATGTTTCTCTTTCTCTCTCTCTCTTTCTTTTTCTCCCTCCCTTCCTACCTCTCTAAAATCAGTAAACATATCCTCAGGTGAGGATTTAAAAAAAAAAATGAGGGTCCTAGATCAGGAATAGAAGAAGGAGGTGAAATAATAGAAATGATGAAGATGGTCAATGGCAATGAAGGAATGAGAGTTAGAAGGGTAGAAGTTCGTCAGGATGGAAATTGCAGAGCAAGATATGAAGGGACCGTTCAAGTTAATCAAGAATAGGGTGACTATGCATAGTACGTACTCTCACTGCAGTGAAGCCGCTAGGCCGGTGGCTCTTAGCGAGGGCACACATGAGTGGTAGCAGGACACTTTAAATACAATTGCTCAGGCTGGCAGAGATTCTAGTGTTAATAGCTCTGGTATCTACTAGTATATCCTCAAGGCCACACTGTTCAGTATAGACACCACTGGCCAGGTATCATCTGTAATTGCTTGAAATGTCTGAATTGAGATCTGGTTTGGTGCAAAATGTAATTCTTTGAAGACAAGACTTTGAGAACACCGTTCTGTATTTTCTTTTAAAAAATAAACGTGATTGCATCTTTTGCATTAGATGTATAACGATACCTAAGATAGAGTACTTTTTAAAACAACTTTTTATGTTCCAATAGCTTTTGCAGATTTGGGGAAACAAAGGTTATGGATCAGCTCGGAGTATTGTTCGTATTATTGGGAAAATTCTTCCTTTAGAAGCTTGTCGCCGGCCTGATTTCGAGGTATGTCAGCCAGCATGCAATGTTGAATCACTGTGTATAAAATAATCCTAGGTAACCCAGGGGATACAGGATAGAACAAAAGAAGAAATATTTCCTGCAAAGACCTTTATCTCTGGGAACAAGTCATCACGTGTGTTTTTGTGTTTATTTCTTTAAATAATTACATTCAAAAATGGGCAGGTACAAAGCAATACCAAGTATTTTATTCTTATAGTTTGTGATTAATGATAGATGACATTAACCAGGGGAGAGGATATTGCTACATGTATAGTCTTGGGGATAATATTTTCCTCAGTATTTTTTCTTACTAATAGGTGCATGGTTTTCTACTGAATATCCCTTTTCCCGCTTGGATTTTTAACTTATTTAATGTCCATGGCATGTGTCTCCCCCCTACTCCCTACAGAGCTCTGACTTTGTTTTCCTTTTTTCCCTTTAGCTGATCCCCCTCTTGAACTCTGTAGACTCTGGTAACTGTGGCTCTGTAGTTCCATCTTTTGCTGATATTTTCTGTGTGGCAAATGATGAAGAATCCATTTATCTCAGATTTCGGTAAATTTATATACTGATCTTGGAAGGTGGGGTATGGGCTGTAATCTGAATTCTTGGACGTGCTCACGTTCAGACTCAGTGGGCCTTTTCGTGTTGTCCGTCTCTCTGCTGCGTTGTGTCTGACTAATATTTTCCTAATGAGGATGACTGCTTGTTCCTCATGTTTAGTCATTTTTTCTTACTGAACATTTAAACCTAGCACCAGGCCTAGGAAGGAATGATATTTAAACAGCATCACAGTCACTGTGTTTGTATTTATGAGAAAGCTATTTCCTGTACTAGGTAACTAGGTTTATTTTATTTCATATATTTATTCAAAACTTAACCTAGTTCTTACAGGCAATGATGTTAAACATTATTTCAACATTTGTGTGTGTTTTCTCCTAGGGAGTACTAACATGTGTTAGTATATTCCGATGCAGGCTATAAGCACAACCAGGCTCAGTTATTGAAATACTACGACTAAATTTTTTACATGTCAAACTGGGTTATCAATTTTCAAGAAATTAGAATACCGTAAATTTACTCTTAACATTGTACTGAATATAAGGCCTTTCAGTACTGTGTATCCAGAACACAGAATTTCTAAATAAAACAACTTGTCGGGGGTTTAAAGTGAAAAGGCAGGACAGTTACAGGATAATTATTTTTGTTTTACAGTCTAAAAGCAGGGCTTGTTCCTTCGTTCACTGACCACTTATTGGTCACCTATTAAAAGTTAATTTCTGTTTTACATCCTGAGAATACACAGTTATGTAAGATGTTGTGTTTGTCCCCAGTGAGTCTAGAGATAAGTCGCGGGATAAGGAGAGCTACTCTGATTCTGTCTTGGTGTCTGTATTCCTCTTGGACTGAAATAATTTATTTCTTTTGGAAAATTTCCCTCCCCCCTCCCTTTCCCTCTCTCCATCCCCATTTCTTCCTTCTTTCCACCCCCAGAAATGGTATATGGAAAAATGAGGAAGAGGAGACCGAGGTTTTCCATCCTTTGCAACTAGTTCGGGATCCACCGTCACCTGGTCTAAGACATAACAAACCAATGAAGAGTTCTCAGCCTGTAAATGAAGCTGCAATTAAAAAAATAGCTGCCCTTGAAGACGAGCTCACTTTTCTGCGTTCTCAGATTGCTGCAATTGTGCAAATGCAGGAGCTGAAAAACAGTACTAACTGTGGTAAGTAACATTGGGTTTTTGTTTCAGGTAGATGGTACTCGCCTAGTATTTCAGCCAGTACAGTTCTGAATAAGAACGCTTGATGTTTATGTATCTCGTGAATGTCATTAAATACGAGAAGATGCTGGCTATATAAAAATGTTTTGTTTGATGTTTATTTAGAATAAATTAAGACACATTTGGCCCTGGCTGGGTGCCTCAGTGGATTGGAGTGTCATCCTGTACATCAAAAGGTTGTTTATGGTCAGGGCACATACGTAGGTTGCAGATTTGATCCCTAGTTGGGGCGCATCTGTGAGGCAACTGATCGATGTTTCTTCTCTCTCTCTCTCTCTCTCTGCCCTCCTTCCTCTCTCAAATCAATGAAAACATATCTTCAGGTGAGGATTAAAAAAAAAACAACTATCTCCCTCATTTGTATTAAGGGAGATAGTTTTGGTTTAAAGAAGAGCTAACTATACTGCAGAAGATAGTAGTTTTGTACTGAAAAGCCGGTTTTCTAAGTAAACTTTTCTAAATCTTCAGAAAAGCATTGGAAATTTAAGAGGAAGAGTGCATTAATTTGAAAGATTTGAGATTTCATAGATTTGTAGTTTGAAGTTACTGCTGCTATTTCACCTCGTTAGGAGAATAATGTTCTCTAGATGACCCTTTTCTAAATTTTTAGAGACAAAACTTGCTTTAACCTATAGACATACACACGTAATATATATAGGTGTACACATACACACACACACATATAACTTACATATAACAATGTATATACATTATACTATAAATAGAATATATAATAGATATGACATAATGTGTAATAATAAAAATGAGATGTAAATACACATTTTTTAGCAATCATGTGCTACAGCCTTTTAGGAGCAAATCTCTTATGAAAGAGTTAGTAAAGCAGTCCCCCCTTTTCCAAGGGGGGTACGTTCGAAGACTCCCGGTGGATGCTTGAAACCACTGTTAGTACTGAACCCCTATATATACTCTGCTTTTTCCGATAAATACATCCCTTTTCACTTAAAGGAAGCACTTCCCGGCTTCCCTTTGGCATATCCGAATTGCCAGCATCAGTACTGTTTTGCTTTGGGGTCAACATTAGGTAAACTAAGGGTTACTTGAGCACAGCATTGTGACACCTCAGCAGTCGATCTGATAACCCAGACAGCTACGGAGTGAGTGATGGGTGGGGAATGTGTACAGTGTGGAGATGCTGGGTGAAGGGATGACGATTCATGTCCTAGGTGAGCCAGAGTGGGACAATATGAGGTTTCATCGTGCTACTTAGAAGGGCACTCAATGTAAAACTTACGAGTCGTTTATTTCTGGAATTTCCATTTGATGTTTTGGACCAACGTTGACTTTGGGGAACAAACCATGGAAAGTGAAAATGCATAAGGAAGACTACTGTACTCGACTCATCCTTAAGCTCTTGCCTAAAGTGTATGCTTGGGTGTTTATCACAGAGATACCATTTTGAGTGTTTCTAACTATAAGTCCTTGATCATGTTTTAGCTTTTTAAAATAGAGGATGAAATTTAGATTGTATGTGAATTACTGAAAAAGCACTTTTTATTTTCTCTTTGAAGTGTTTCTGCCTGTTCCCACTTTTAAGGGCCAGCACAGAGAACCCTAACTGGATTAAAAGTAAATTTCCTATTTGGCTTGACTCTTACAGAAATGACAAAGCAGATGGGATTGCTTCTCCTTTCTGGCCACATCATTATTTTAGCAGCATTACAGAAATTGTTTGTTTTGGTTTTGATTAGTGTTACGTGAAAGAGAATTTTGCATGATTTTTCAACAGACTGCTTTGTTTTTTAGGCTCCTTTGACTCAACTGATGGGCCTAGTGGTTTGGGACAAGTGCCATCATCAGGAACTGCTCGACTAAGTGTCAAACCAGATCCATTTTCAAGTTCAGTGCTTCCCGCTCCTCCTCCTCCTCCTCCACCCCCTCTGCCCCCTCAGTTTTCTTCTCTGCAGCCTCCATGTTCTCTTGTGCAGCCAGAATATACTCATATTTGTGACTCAGATAATATAGCAACTGAAGTGAGAAAACAGCACCCAGGTGCTAGTAAGACCCATTATAATCGTCATTCAAAAAACCAGAAAAACAAAGATGTTCCAAACATGTTGGATGTTCTGAAGGATTTGAATAAGGTTAAACTTCGTGCTATTGAACGGTATGTTGTCATAATTTGAGAAATGAACCAAAATTTTATCAGGAATGTTTTAAAAAATTATATTTATTAAACTAAACCTATACACATCTTCTCTTTTATTCCCTTTCACCCCAAAAGGCCCTCCCAGAGAATCATTTCAGTTTTTTGACTCTTCTAGTATATTAGCTCCATAGTTTTGAAAAAACATACTTTATTTGCTGTTTCTTAATATTTTATCTATATTTTCTTCCCACTGTTAAAGATTAGGAATATATTCTCATAGACATTCTACCCTCACACACAGGCACACATACACTTATTACATCTTCCCAGTATCGTTAAATCACAGTCTTTAGTTAAGCTGGTGTGTAGAATGTTGTTGATTTTGGTTTCTAGGTGTGGTTCTGAAACCTTAATTATCTAGTGATGTGGGACCTAAAAATTCATGTTTAAAAGTGAGCCGGTGAAAAGCCGCTTGCAGGTGCTTTGTGTGAGGGGGCGTGTCCGCCGGGGGCTTTACAGTTTAGTGAGTGAGGAGAGACCCTGGTCACGTTGTTGGCCAGACCCCAGGTTTCAGTAGTTGTTTGTCTTTTCTCTGGGGCTTGAGTTTTCCTAGGAAGTTCTTCAGTCTCCTTCTTGGTCAGGAGAAATGCGAGTTACACGGGGCATGCAAGCCAGGTAGGAGTTTATCATTCTGTTTGTAGACTTTTTTTTTTAAATTTTTTAAAATATATTTTATTGATTTTTTTATAGAGAGGAAGGGAGAGGGATAGAGAGTTAGAAACATCGATGAGAGAGAAACATCCATCAGCTGCCTCCTGCACACTCCCCACTTGGGATGTGTCCGCAACCAAGGTACATGCCCTTGACCGGAATCGAAACTGGGACCTCTCAGTCCGCAGGCCGATGCGCTATCCACTGAGCCAAGCCCGTTAGGGCTATAGACTTTTTCTTAATACCTCTTTCTTAATACCTTCTGTCCCACAGAGCTCAGATTCCATCAGTATGCAGCTCAAATTCCTGTACTCTTCCTGATCCAACTGCTACTCCCACCTGAGCCCCCATCCCATCCAGCTTGCGCCCTGCAGGGATAGGTCTCAGGCAGAGGCCTCCCTGCCGGTCTCTTGGTTTTCCTCCTTGCCTCCTCCACTCTTCTCCATGTAGTAGCCAGACTGTTCCTTTAAAAACTGAAGTCAGTCATGCCTTTCCCTGTTGCAAACCTCTGGTGGTTTTCCATGAGCTTAGAAGAAAACAGACACTTTGCTGGGGCCTGTAAGTCCCGCCGGGACCCAGCCCTGGCTTCTCTCCAACCTCAGGCCCTACTTCCTGTGGTACTCGTGGTACGGCAGCGAGTCCTGGTTTCTTCCTCCTTTTCTCACAAGCACCAAGCTCCGTCCCGATGGATCCACCAATATTTACTCTTAAGCTGACAGCTGGTCATTTCCCTAAAGAGGCTTTTCCTGGTCATCTCATCTGAAGCGCTTTCGTCTAGTCACTGTCACGTTGACCTGCTTATTTTATTCGCAGCACTTGCTGCACCCAGTCACCCTGCTTACCTGTTCATTGACCATCTGCCCCCAGAATGTCCCACGGGAGCCGGATACTGCCCTGCCCTCGAAGTGTCACAAGGAGCCTGGTCTAATAGGCATTAAGTGAAGGTGGAGTGAATGACTAGCCGAATGCTTCTCTTTTCATGAACTCTTTTTTAAAAGTTCTTAAATATGTTTTTAAAATTTCCCCCTGAAACACTCGGTGATTTAAAATAAAGATCTTCGGCACAGAGATTTTTGATGAGTCCTCGGCCATACCAAGGTCGTGGTAGAGCCCTACTTGGTTTTCTGATTTGTGGTAAAAAATTTCACTCTCTTGACCTATTAGATTGTAGTGCATTATGCTTATATCTCTGCTGTGCTTGTTAACAAGGAGCTTAAATTACACCAATTTTAATTTATTTTTTTTAAATAGGTCACCTGGAGGCAGACCCATTCGTAAGAGGAAAAGACACAGTTCGCAGTGGGACCCAGTGTCTTTAATTTCCCAGGCACTGAAGCAGAAATTTGCGTTCCAAGATGATTCCTTTGAGAAAGAAAATAGGTCTTGGGAGTCTTCGCCATTTTCTAGTCCAGAAACTTCAAGGCTGAGCTCTAACAACGTAAAGTTAGTTTTTCAGTTTTTCTAAAGTGTATTATTTATGACCTGTCTTTGCCTTCAAGTTCTCTTAAAGTAACTGCAGAATGGGCTACCCCAGCTTGTCACACTCGTGGCCGGCGGGCTGCATGCGTCCGACCGCGAGTGTGACGTGTTTGGGACACAATTATTTGTTGGCGCTGCTAATGTTTCTGTCTTCGTTAGCTTTTACGTGCCCATTTTAGCTTTCAGCCTTCTATGAAGTTTTTGATATAAAACATTTGAATTGGAAAATATGTGCACAAGCTTGTGCCGGTTCATCCGGGCAGGTGCTCGCCCGATGCTGCTGTCCACGGTGTGAGCTGGGGCCCACACTTTGGGAGGACACAGAAGAGCCGTGCCATAGGGTCACACCAACCACAGTCACGTGAGAATGCTCCATTGTTTCAGTCAAATGTAGACTCTGATTATTTAGGCAAATAGAATGTTAACTGTGCTTTTAAGACAAATGGGATCATTATTCTCTTTAGTGACAATACTTCTTGGTGGCTTAAAGGGCCACACTATATTTCCAACGCTTGACCCTGAAGCTTGCTCCTTACTTGAAGTATCTTTTTAAAATTTAGGCTTAATTCTAATTTTGAGGGTGTTTTTATTTCATCTCGTAGTTTAGCTGAGGTAGTACATGGGAGTAACTCTTGTGGAGAGGAGCAGGGTCTGAAGTCAGGTGGAGAGCATTCAGGGTGGCAGCCATCAGCAGAGGGGATGGAAAAACTAAGCAGCAGATAGCAACGCAGGGAGCACAGCAGAGCAGGGGGAAATTTTCCTACCGGGTCCTAGTGTGAGTAGTCTGAGCAACGGTGTGTGTGTACAGTATCTGATGTTTATTATGTTGACTCAAAATTACATCCTTCACTCTAAGAAGACAAAAAAGTATATAGATTAGAACTATAATAATAATAATGCAAATGTGCCTACAAATAAATGCTTAACATTTGTATATAAATTTAGAACTTGCAAAGTACTTTTTTACGCATAGTATTCAATCTTCACAGCAATATCCTAAAAATACAAAAAAAAAAATCTCCAGGCTAATATTACCTACTTTACACACGAGGAAAATGAACCTCCTGGTGTTTAAGTAATCTGCCCGTAACCCCACGTCTGATTGTCAGAGCTGTGGCCAGAACCTGGTTTATTAAAATTCTAGGGTGTTCGAAGTCTTCAGTTACCTGAGAAATTCACTTGGGTAACTGAACATACTGACTAGAACATCCTGTTTCCCAGCGACGTGGACTAACGAGGTGTCTCCGAGTTGTCTCCGGCTGTGCACTGTTCTGAGCATCTTCTCCCCAGTCAGCTGTGCGTCTTGGAGGAAGAGCATGTCTTTTTGTGTCGTTTCAGGGGCAGTGCCTGCCGCACGGCCCACTCTCAGTAACTTTATTGTTGAATGATTAAACCTCAAGCGGGCATTTGGTGCTGGTATTGCCGTTTTTTCTTTTTTTAAACGTTGGAATAATTTCTGTGTTAAACATCTGCTTTATTTCAGTTTGGACATCACATTTCACAGGCAAAAGGACAGTGACCTAAAGGAAGAACCGACAAACGCAAAAGGCGTCACGACCGAGGTGTGGGCGCTGTGAGCGGTGTCAGTCCTACAAGAAGAAACGCAGATTCGCCAGCTTGTCTTCCATTGCATGTTCATCTCTTGTTAGTGAAGCTTTTAAAAAACAATTTCTTAAAACAATTATGACATCCTAATTTAAGAGCCTTTGAATCTTTTAAAAATTGTTGGTGATTTGGTTTATTTGACCTCCAGAAACTTGGGAGGTTTTTAAAGAATGTAATTGTTTCACTCAGATAGTCATAGCTTTAATCATATAGGTTGAGCCTCCTAAAAGTTCTTCCTGAAGGTGATGATTATTTTTTAGAAACTGATTTGATAAATGCTAGTATTTAAAGAATCGTCATAAGTTTTGCCTATACTTACTATGTAAATATGTATGCCTATCTTTTCCTTTTGTTCTACATTACAGTTATACTCTGTTCCTTTGTAAATAAAATAAATGTACATTTATAACGTGGTTGTGTACTGTAGCATTTTAAATTCAGTTTTTTCTTCTTACTACTTCGTTTGGAAATCTGAACTTATATTTTGAATGAGTTCTGTAGGTAATTAGAACTCCTTCCCCCCCCAACCCCCCATGAAATAACTGCTTTTTACTGCTTTTTATTTCCTAGGGTAGCTTGCATTTTTACTTTTATAGTTTTCTTATTTTAAAATGTGTAAAGAACAACCCCTCCCCAGCAACCAGCAGATACCCTTGGAAGATACCACTCTCAGCCAAGAGCAGTATATTTCTTGAGATAGCTCAAGTTGATTTTTAAAAAATTCTTTTTTTAAATCCTCACTCAACGTGCTTATTGACTTTAGAGAGAGAAACATTGATTGGCTGCCTCCCACACTCGCACCCACCAGGGTTTAAACCTGCAACCTGGATGTGTGCTCTGACCAGGAGTTGAACCCACATCCTTAGGTGTACAGGATGATGCTGCTCCAACCAATTGAGCCACACTGACCAGGGTGATCAAGGTGATTTTTTTTTTTTTTTTTTTTGCGGGAGGGGCCTTCTCTGTTCTACTTCAGAATGAATTTGCTGCAAGAGCTCATTTCAGCATCACAATGCCACCAGGATTGAATTGATCATGGGGTCACCTCTGTTGAGAAGTATGACTTCTGGTGTCCTGGGACATGTGAGCTCAGGCCTTGAAATTCCGGAATGGCCTAAAGTTGGGCTCCTGGTTTGCCATAGAGTTCCTTAGGGTTAGGGATTCAGTGTAGGGATTCACCATGAACCTGTCCATAAATTAGTGAATACCTCACATATAAAACCATATTTGATTGCATTTTAAACGTATCTAAATACACTATGAATGCTAAAATGGGTTCTGTTCTTGCAAGTTATATAAATGCTGGCTTCTTTTCCTGACATTAAAACAATCTCTCACTCTCCTAGAAGTGTTTCTCCATCCTCTTCCTCAGATGCCTTAGACTCCAGTACATTCTCCTTCCCCATTGGCTGTCAATCCTGATAAGCCAAGGTGTTTGAGCAAGGGTATATGACAAAGCATTCTAATACTATTTTATATTTGGAAAATGAAAAAAGAAAGTTTATAAGATAGACCAGAGGAAATAAACGCTGTGCAGAATCTCAACTGGTTGAGATCCACAGATAATGACAGCCGTGGTTGTCAAGGCAGCGAGGGAGGTGAGTTCTGCGGAGTATGAGGCAGAATCGGGGGGCCTGGTATTGTTAAGAAGAGGGGGAATCAAAGTGTTGCTTTTACAGTGCAAACATTTGTGTTTTAATTATAAAATTTAAATAGAATTTAACTTGAGGGAGAAGCAGCTATTGACATGGTAACAATGGAGAAAGAATTTGAAATAGGTTTTGCTGGGTATTAAGCACAGGCTCTCCTGAGGTTGGAGAGGTTAAGTATGCAATTGGATTGGTTTTAAATTGAAAAGAAAACACATCAGAAACAGGTCAGGGAGAGTGGAGTGTGAGAAAAGGGCTACATTGCAGGTGGCATTCTCTGGGAAGCAGACACTGCGATAGAGATTCATGTGCAGGAAGTCTATTGGGTTTGCCCTCAAGCTAATCCCCTGCAAGGGAAGTAGCAGGCCCGAGTGAGGGAGAAGCTGGGCTGTGACGCAGTCTCCTCAGTCTCACAGGGAGCTCCGAGCTGGGATTGGCCCTGCAGGGTTGTCTCCCATCGCTCTGAGGGTGCTGGGTCCTCATACCCTCACATGGACCCAACTCTGGGGAAGGGGCACGGCCTTGAGCAAGGCAGTCTTCTTCAGAACAGGGCAGTTTCCACAGAGGTTTGTCCGTTCTAAACACGGATCACAGTGACGCATCACAGTCCATTACAAGGGACATGGGTACAAAACCCTGCAGAGCCCAGCCCACCTTGCATTGCGGTTAGCTGAATGGTATGTCCTGTCATCGCCCAGGCTAGTTCTTATACTTATTTTCTTGAAAATATTTGAATTTAAAAAATTGGGGGTGGGGAAGGGTAGGAAAGCCTTTCTGTCGCCAAAGGTCTGTCCCCCTCCAGCCATGCCCCAGGTTTCCGTGTGGGTAAGCTCTGGTTGTCCTGTTCTCTTCTTGGAAACCACTCATGTCTACAGGATGCAGAACACGGAGCAGTTCTCACCTCGTGTGGCTCTGGGATCAACGGGAAAAGTGCTGGGAATGTGCCAGGAGAAGGGAGTTTCTCTCTGGGCCCAAGCTCCCCAGTTGTGAGAGAAAGAGGCGAATGGAGTGTGCCCCCAGGCCCATGTACAGCATGAACAGTCGATGACTTATATACTCATAGCTCACCTTGGTTGCCATTTCAGTTTCTGTGTTTTGTGCCAAATATTCTCACCCAGGAGCTGTGGTCTGAGGGTATCTGAGAAGGTCTGTCACTGCACTTGAGTACGGGCTGTAACTTAACCTTGAGCTCTCACTTTTTTTTTTT